GAAGTAACTCCGAGACAGAAGCGTTGAGCTCCTAAAGCACCATCTACAACTGATGTGGAGAGAAGTTTCTTAATTCAACTGACAAGGGTGACTTGGACCTTTCTTCTTCCACAATAATTTTCACATGATGCATATTTGTCAAATGATAATTAACCATTAATATATCTCCCGTCATATATTATCTTTTTTTTTTTTTAACAATCTAATAATTTTTTTTACTCTTCGAATCATTGTCTCTGTACCAAATTTTCTCCAACTCTATCATTTTCGATTGATGGAGACTATTATGATGGAATATGTGCGCGTTATGTGGTCACTGATAGTTCTTGCAACATAAACTTGTTGCAATCAGGATGATAGAAATTCTTAGTGTTATATGTGACATTATCCTTGCCATGACTGCCATTTCAAGGAAGCCATAAGTGAGCAAAAGAGCCAAATCTTGGAACAAAATATCGTGGCATGTCGACTCTTCAAGTTTCCAATATCAAGAAAATAGTTTTAAGTGCTCGAAGAATTTTCTTTAAGGATTTATGTGAAATGGTATAAAAAAAATTTATTATGAGATTAAGTTCCATTTAAATAAAAAATATTCATCTAGACTCGACATCCGACAACGCGATCATCTAATAAAAATGAATCTTCATCAATAATCCAACCACATGAATATTAGTTTATTATAAAATTTTAAAAAATATTTCACATATATAACATAATATTTTTCTTTGTTAAGCTCATAAAAAAAGTTCATTAGGCCATTGTAATCGAGATTAGTTGCTGCTTACTTAAAAATTTTGCTTTCTATATTAAAACTAATTTGAACGTCGGAGGAATATCATCGAATCTCATGTAATCTTCCTATAGGTCGACTATCTTACTAATGCTTGAGCCTCTCGTTCAACCACATCAAACTTCCTATTTGTGAATCGGATTAAAGCATTGACCTACGCAAATTTTATGTTTATAGGACCTTGGCTTTGGCTTTGGCTTTTACTCTTTTGCTCCGTTCAGCCTACCTTATAAACGATTATATTACTCTTTTTTTTTAAACTCATTCTAAAATAATAAAATCTTACATGAATACATAAAACGAAGAATTCCTCTGTCAATCCTTGCTCGCATCGATGATCATAAATGAGAACTTATCACAATCTCACAAAATAAATTGAAACTAATTTTCATTTAAAATATATCCCAAATCATCTTAAAAACTAAATTCTAACTCATTTTGATATTAAAAGAATATGACCAAATGAGATACTTATATGTAAAGCTTTTTTTAAAGGCAAAGTTTTTTTTATACATAAAGCTAAGTAGTGAAGACAACATTCGTTCTGTAGACCTCAATATCAATAGTAATGTATTTTTGGTTCAATATGATTTAATCTTCATCACGAAATAAACAAACAAATAAAATCTCAAAACCTTAATACTGTAATATATATCACAACAGTTGGTTGGTTAAAATCATGAAGGTATATATATATTTTTTTGGGTTTTCTTTACAAGGGGGTATAAATCATCTGCCCATTTGCTGGAAGTGTGGGCGAAAACAAAAAAAGAGATGCAATAAACCTTCCCTTTTGTTCGGTCTTATATGTTAAATTTAATATATATTATTAGAAAAAATTATCGTTGATGTCTAAGTCGATTCGATGTGATCCACACTTGAAAATATAAGAATATCCGAAGTGGTAATCGAAGTAACTCCGAGACAAAAGTGTTGATCTCCCAAAGCATCACCTATTACTAAGATCGATGTCGGAAGAAATTTCTCGATTTAATCTCTTCGTTTTTAAATTAGTCATCAATATTCTTTTTGGAAATGAGTTTTTCTTAGAAAGATAGCCCCAACTTAGTACCGAGGATTATCTTTTATATCTTGTCTTAGAGGAGACAAACCTATAACCACTCCAACATCCCCCTTTTGACATTTTATCCAACAAGTGATACAAGCGAGATAGCTTCAAATGATATGTTTTGGACTTTTGTCCATACGAGCAAACTGGTGAGGATAATCTGAACCTTTTATCTTCCACAATAGTTTTCACGTGATGCTTATTTGTCGAATGATAATTAATTATTAATATATCTTCTATCATATATTATCTTACTTTTTTTTATTCTTAACAATATAATAATATTTTTTTAATACTCTTCTATTCATCATCTCATATACAAAATTTTATCCGACTCTATCATTTTTTATTGATGGAGACTATTATGATGGAATATGTGTGCGTTACGTTGTCACTGATTGTTCTTGCAACGTAAACTTGTTGCAATCGGGATGATAGAAATTCTTAGTATTATATGTGACATTATTCTTGTCATGACTGCCATTTCAAGGAAGCCATAAGTGAGCAAAAAAGCCAAATCTTGGAGCAAAATATCGCGGCACGTAGGCTCTTCAAGTTTCTAATATCAAGAAAATAGTTTGAAGTGCTCGTATAATTTTCTTTCATAGGATACATTTTTTTAAAAGAATTTATGTGAAATGGTATTAAAAAAATGAGATTAAATTCTATTTCATTAAAAGAAATATTCATCTAATCATGACTAGATATACAACAACACGATCATCCAATAAAAACAAATGTTCATCAATAATTTAACCACATGAATATTAATTTATTATAAAATTTTAAAAAATATTTTGCATATATAATACAAAATATTCTTCTTTCTTAAGCTCATAAAAAAAAGTTCTTTAGTCCACTATAAACGAGATTAGTTGCTGCTTACTTGAAAATCTTACTTTCTATAATGAAACTAATTTGAACGTAAGAGGAACATCATCATCGAATCCGATCTGATCTCGATCTTCATATATAGAAAGATTGATCTCGATCTTCATATATAGATAGATCGACTACCATGCTAATGCTCGAGTCTCTCGTTCAACCGCATTAAACTTGCTATATGTGTGAACCGAAACCGAGTAATTTAGACATCATCGACATCCACCACATTAGAGCATTGACCTACGTAAATTTTGATGTTTATCGAACTTGGCTTTGGCTTTTACTCTTTTGCTCCATTCAGCCTAGCTTTAGAAGTTAGGTAGCATACCAGCCTAGTCTAAGAAGGTGAGCCTACGAGCTGTCTCTCTCTTTTGCTTACTCTGCCACTCTGCCTACCAATACCAACTTCTCCCTTGCTCTATCCTATGTCACTTGAGCTGTGGCTACAGATTACACCGGAGCCGGATCAACTTCTTTCTTTATGTGGTGTATCTTTGCCTCCTCCTCCACCACCGACGCGATGTGGGCCAACTCGTGCCTCCACGGATGATGTGGGTAAAAGAAGACTCGTTACGGTGTGCTAAAAGCGGATCCAATTTGGTGTACTTAATCTTACATTTCACAATTCGTGATAGTTCGTTGACTCCGTCGATGGTTGGGACTAATATCTTATCCCCACCATAGAAGTGGATTAAAAGAGATAAAAATGTTAATCTAATTTGCTTCACATATATCATTTATGTTGTGTTTCAGGACTTGAAGAGCTTCTCGATGGAACGCGAAATAGTTGCCGTAACTATTGGTTTCGTCAGTTATGTTCCTTCGAACATATTGCTTGTGTTCGTTCGTGTTCCATTTTCAATCGAAAGTGGCAACGACATCTATTGCTTGTCTCTACTGCTGCTGCTGCTGCTGAGTTTTCGATGTCAAGAAAAGACAGAATATGTCATTTCTCCCATGTCAACAAAAAAAAAAAAAAAAAAATATATATATATATATATATATATTCAAAGTTGTTAACAAATTCAGATCTTTGATGGCAAAAGTAATGTGGTTGATCTATCGGCACCACTATTTTTTTATACACAACATCTCATCTCTGTTTTGTTGAGTCACCTAGCCGATGTGTGGAAGTCATTTTAGTGATATTTTATTACTATCTTATTCTCATATAATCATATCTCATAAATGTTAATTGTAGGAAAATGAGCACGGATGATCTTTATGGATCCATTATCGCACAAACAATGTAGTAAATGGTATAACAACATGAGCATAATGATTTAGCACTAGCCGATAAGGAGTCTAACTAGTGTAATGGATGAGTATAATAGCTCAACATTAGTGAAAGATTATTATGATAATTTCTTATATTTATGTTACCATATTACCATATTAATATTATTCTATATATGTTGAGTAGACACTCGATACATATAGAACAATTTAAATCTGACTTGTCTAATTAGATTACTGATTTAAATATCGAAAAAATATTTTCAAAAATACTCCCGATACAGTTTTATGAGGGTTAGATGTCTAACTCAATAAGTTCTACCTTGACTTAGACACGAAAAAGGATTAAACAGGATTCGAATAGCCAAAATCTGATCAAACACAAGCTATAACATGTGTTACCATTGATAGGCATCTCAAAGATGTGGTCCGGTTGCATAATATTCTCTTTGGGAGTTAATTTTCTAATGATCTTTCTAATGACACAAGAAACAATAAATGTTGATGAACTCCTTCATGTTCATAAGCTATTACTTGTGATGCTTCTCCTGAGTGAATAGTGGGCAACGCGTATGGATATTAAGTCACGCGATCGACGGGATTCTTGAATCACAACAAAAGATACGAGTGAAGACACACATCACATATGGCGGAGAAGACATCCCGTCCCTCCACCTCAACACGATCGACGAACAGCCTTTAAATGAGACGTCTTCGTGTGGACGTGCAAACCGTACGCCCACGAGGGTCCCACCTCTCTCTCCGTCGGCCAAATTTCCCCTCTCCCCTGCAGTAGTTGCGCCGTACATACATCACCGCCGCCAGCCGGTTTCGCCGGTGGAAGATCCCCCACCCCCACCCGCACCCCCGACCGCACGTGCCGCACGTTGAAGGGCGCACTTTGTTGTTTATTGCTGTGGTTATCTACTAATAAAAACTCTTCCACGCATCTAATCCAAGGAATAAATATGTTGACAGCTAAAAGGGACAGCACTCGGCCATTGGTGAAGGAAAAGGAATAGCCCCTCTTTAATATACATATATCGCCGCTTGAGAGGAGGAATGGGGGGTTTGCACTGTCCAAAATCCACTCCACCCTTCCCTTCTCTCTCTCTCTCTCCTCAGCCACCCATCTCTTTTCCTCTCCCAATCCCATCCACCATGAGGATCCGGAAGAGGCCAAATCCCTTCCCTCCTCCTCCTCTGTTTCCAGATCCATCAGTCCACTTCCATCCAGCAGATGGGGAAGATGGAAGGAAGGACAGTAACGGAGGAGATCGTGGGAGAGGTAGAGAGAGGTTGCACTCTGATGCGGATCTGGAAATAGACAACCTCGACAGGAGGCCTCCTCAGGTTCCTCCTACTTGTGAGCCCCGTCGCATGTCAAACGGAAGCAGCAGGAAAGCCACTGTTTCTGCGCATCGGACCAACCTTGGTCGTGTGCAGGTACTTGTTCACCTTCACAACCTTCCTCTTTCCCTACTCTAAGTTTGTTCCTCGCTGCTGCTGGTGCTGCTTTTCTTAGATCCCCTTGTGTGTCCTGTGGCCCTGATGGGTGCAATGTGATGGATGCTTTGTTTGGGATTTGTTGCAGGTGTTGAGAAAGAAAGCCAAGGAGGAGGATGGGATGGTGGATACCAGCAACAGATGGGATGCCGAGGTCAATAGTAACTCGAGGTCGGTAAATATTTGCCCCCACAAAATGGAGGTTAAGCGCATCCCAAGTATTTTTGCTTCTACCATGCATGCCAGGTTAACCCATTATGACAACCCGACCACCATCTTCATCTAATCATGCACCCATCCACGCACCAACACTGTCTCTCTCACACTCACACACACAACATCTCCACCTCTTTCGGTTTTCAATGTGGTAGTATTCCGCTACTGACAAACTAGTGGTATCTCATTGCACAAGCATGAAGAGTTATTCAGAATGGCCTAATGGTGTGATGATGTCGGGGAAAGGAGGTGTTGTGATGCGCGATGTCTTTAATCTTTTTTCTGTGGATCACTAGCAGCTCAAGTGCACCGGTGTCGGCAGCGGAACAGGTTGGAGACACGGCATTCTTGGCGAAGAAAAAGAGAGGAGGAAATGACTATGGGTGTGGGAATAGAGGATCAGAAGATACGCTAGAGGAGAAAGAGAAGAAGCCCAAGGGGAGGGGGAGGGCGAAGATGCGCAACTCCTCAGTAGATAACAGTGCTTGCAGTAGAGTTAATGGGAGTGATCATGCGAGACGCGAAAGTGAGGTCAAGGAGGAGGAAGACGAATCGATGAACGGTAATGTGCCAAATGGGAAGAAGAGGAGGAGCCCCGCAGTGCTGATGGAGGGGTCGCGGTGCAGCCGGGTGAACGGGAGGGGGTGGCGGTGCTGCCAGCAGACGCTCGTCGGCTACTCTCTTTGCGAGCACCATCTGGGGAAGGGAAGGCTGAGGAGCATGACCAGCGTGCGAGGCCAATTGGGCACCAGTACTGCTAGGTCCAAGAGAAGCTCCGGGGGAACCACAACGATCCCGGAGGAGGAGGAGGAGGAGGAGGAGAAGGAGAAACTATGGCCGCAGCAATATAATGCCGGTGAGATCAAAATGGAAGAAGATACCGAGAAGGCATCAACTCTGAAGAGAAAGAAGATCGGCATGGTGAAGGCTCGAACGATCAGCAGCTTGCTCGACGAAACCAATCGTCCGATGCCATCTTTACTGTCTCAGCCTCCACAAGTTGCATTCATGCAGACGCTCGACGGTCGCGAGGCAATGGTGTGAGATCAAACAGGCATAACCAAAGGAAGAAAGAAGCACTGATGCTTGGACGACTAATCTGCTGCATTTTTTTGTTGTATTCTCTCGCTTCCTTTCCAACTTCTGGAAACAGACTTTGAACTTCGTCTCCACCAGGAACATCGTCGCATGTTTTGTGAAACACATCTTTATCTGATTGCAAGTTCTAATACATGGGTTTATTAGGTCATGGCTGTTGATGGGTGCAACTCCTGGCATGGCAACTGGGCTGTCGCAGTGACATAGTACGATCTATATAGGGACAGCGTGGAATTATGAGAAGGCACAAGACCAAGGCATCTTTGGTAGCTGTAGGAGGGTTGTCTTGACGCAGAAACAAGTGGGCAGTTCCGGTCTTTATTTCCACCGGGGGCAGCAGGTGTTTGATTTTTCTTTGTCAAGACACTAATTAACTTGGTGGGGGGAAGAAGGATAGCGTGTGAGCCACAGCAACGCACACAGTGGCTATCTGTACTAAGCTCACTCTGCGGGCCTTATGTGCGTTTCATTTAGTGGGTATTTGTGATGGACATTGCTCATGATATGGTAGTCTGCGACCCCACACAGGGCTCAATCTGTCCTTTTCGTTCTGGGGGGGTCTCTCTGTGTGTGTCTGGGAGCTGTGATTATTTCGAGGATTAAACGCCACCCACTCGTTCACAGTTCAATTTTGTGTGGAGTGCTCCTGTGGGCCCGGAGACCTAACCAGTGCCCGCCTGTGCCCCTCTCGACCGGGCATCGCAGTCATAATTGGATGTTACCGGAGTCGAACGGGAAAGTGATCCGGTCAAACCTTCAGTCACCACCGATCGAACTGATGGCTCAACAAAATCGTACGTTTAATTGAAAATATTCTAATATATATTAAACACTTTAAAATTATATAGTAAAAAGAGGATGACTTTTCTTGAAAATATTCACATTTTGAGTATTTTTCAGTCAGTATCCTCATTTTATTTTGTTCTCGAATAGTATCTCTAATTTATAAAATACTCAGATTGTAACGAGAAATTTATTTCTCCTATTACAGTATTTGGCCATCGCAATAAAAAAAAATACTATAAAGCCTACTTTAAAACACTGTAAATGAGTCAAATAAAATCAAAATATACTAGAAATCATTTGATATATTTAAATAGGCATTTAAAATAGTTTAGGAATGACATCACCTAAATAAAAATAAAAAATTAGTTTGTTATAGTACTTTGGTCATCATGATAAATACAATATAAGACATACTCAAAGATAATGTAAACGATTTAAATGAACTCATAATCTCAATCAAATCAATTATAATTATAAAAATATAGTACTATAATTATTTACAAACAATGACCTCAATAAATTAATATAAATAATATTAAAAATACTATAGACGAGTCCAATGAATACATTATAATTATTTAAAACCAGTAAAAATAGGCAAAAAAATGTTGATAGAAAAATATTTTAGGGTTATTTTAGGTATTTTTGAATTAGGAATACCTTTTGAAAAAAAAAAACAAAAGAGGGATACATTTTGAAAAATAATAAAGAATATGAATATTTTCTAAGAAAAATATCCTAGTAAAAATTTAAAATATTAAAATTAATTAAAAAAGTATATATAAATGATAATATCAATCAACATTATAAACATAAACATTGGTTGTAATTATGCTAAACTAGATCAATTTTAATTTATTTCTCCATCAACCCTAATTTTATGATCGACATAAATATTCTATTAAATAAATAATAATTAATATTTAAGTAAAGGATATTTAAATAATCTTTCATTATATTACAAAGCTAGATCAATTTTATATAAACTGAATTAAGATATATTTTAAGTTGGTTTTGTTAGGATTGGCCACTAAGAGGGGGGTGAATTAGTGCTATAATAATTTTAATTGATTTTAAAGTTCAATCGATAAATCCATATTGAAAACGTGAATAACCAAAAGTACAAGTAAGGATTGCGAGTAAAGAAATTAGTAACTAATAGCAAATCAAGGTGAGAGAAGAAGTATAAATCGATTTATAGTGGTTTAGTCATCTCGACCTATGTCTACTCTTGATTCCTTTTTCCTTGAGGCCATCGGCTTTTACTATCGATCTTCTTTCCAACGAGCAAAGATCAACTACTTTTGTTACACCTCTTCTTCTTTTAATAGACTTAGGAGAAAATCTTCACACTCACTTTTTTACAAGAGACTCACTCTTTTACAAGAGACATTATCTCTTATAACTTAGAGTCACTTTTAAACTCAAGGAGGAAGAGACTCAAACAATACTCAAAAGCGTTTATAATACTTTTGTGTTAAAAAATTAGTGCTCCATAAAGCAAGTATGAGTAGAGTATTTATAAACTTTAAAATATTTCAAGAATAAAGTAAAAAATTCAAATCTCCAAATTTCGAGGTATTGGCAATACTATTACTGGCACTAGGAGGTGCCACCATGCGGCACTACTGTTGAAACCATCGAAAAAGCACAAACAATGCTTTTCAACTGACTCAACTAGTACTATCACATGGGCTTGATGGTACCACCGCTTAAGCTTACTTTAGATTACTAATTTGGCCTTTTACTAGGCCTAGTTCGACTTTGGTTCAAGCCCAATGGATTACTTAACAAGTTGGCATAGTTTCAATCCAATACCAACTCAATTTGACCCAAAAAGATTTTAATCATGATTTTATAAATTCAATCATATATCTGACATACTTAAGAAGCTTTAAGCACATTGTATGTTATTTAGGCATATCGTTCAATCTTTCAGCACTTCATCCAAACCTTCGGTATACTATCCTTTCCTTCAACATGTCACCCAATCTATTTGTATGTCGACTTTTCCATAACATTCTCTCTTTTGACGTAATATATGATTCTTTGGACATGATGCCCAAACTTATAGTATGGAGCCTAATCTTCAACATGTTGACCAATCCTTGGGCCCAACGTTCAATTTTTTACATAATATTTTTCTGACCCAATGTCTGATTCTCCTACTTCGACAAAGTATATGATCAAAGTATTTTTTTATATTATTTATCTCAAAAAACATACGAATCTCTCGTTCCCTCCAATGTCCAAAGATGTATTACCACTGATTAAGATTGGAGATTGGAGTGGCCGACACAATTTAGCAGTCAATTTAATCCACATCACTCTGCTCGGCCGTCTTCTTATCCTACTTAGTTGTGACCTAATGTCAAAATAACGTGTTGAAAGTTGAATCGAAAACTTAATTAGGTTCATGGAAAGATGAAAATTATCTCCATAATGCTATTTGCAGTCAAACGAAATTGTTTAACTTTGTTACTTTGGATTTGAAGTTTGCACGACAAAGATCCATTAAGAAACACACAATCAGAACATTTAGGTTATCTTAAAAATTAAGGCATGTACTAGTAAAATCAATCAACATAATGATCATGAAAATTTTGGAGATTTGCTATTAAAATGCTATAATCCAAATGTTCAATACTAATTGAGTCATGGCAATGAACGAAGGAGATTGCGCCTAAAAATCTGCCATTTTGGTTATTAATCCCATCTCTTCCATTGATTGTTCACGTCTAAACAACATTCTCTTACGCTAAACAACTAGAGATCATGGAAACTCGGTAATCAAGTGAGCCAAAAGTGAGTTTAAATATCTAATTGAGGTTAACTTTAAATCAACGTAACACAATATCCAATCAAAATCCTACCAAATGTCATCCCTACTAACTATGGCTTCGAGTTCGGTGATGAACCAACCGTAAGGCAAAGCGGGTGGAGTCTATTTACATCAAGAGAGGCTTGTGTTTGGGTCAAGTGGCAACGAGGGTTGACCATTGTATCGGTCCGCTATATGCCTATTATACCGGTTTAGAGTCTCTGAAGGATTGGTAGAAAAATCCCGATATAAAACGGCGCCGTCAGCCGCGAGCGAGAGAGGAAATGAGCTCAGCCATCCTCCTGCGGCCGGCAACCTGTGCGTCGGTTACCACCACAACCGCCGCCACCATCGTCTCAGCCAAAACCACCTTCTCAGGACTCCTTGCCGCCCCAGGGTTCCACCGTAACAGGACGTGCACCACCATCTGCTGCTCGATGGACGGGGGCGGCGCGATGCCCGCGGCCCACATCGGCGGGTTCCTCTCCAAGAAGCGATACGATCCCCCTTTGTGGGCATCCCACCTCCGCCCAGTTCCCTCTCACACCTTCTCCCTCGGCCATGTACACCAATTCATCCTTCTATGTCTCCATAATCGCATTCTTCCTTTTACTGAGATGGGATTTCGACCGATTTTGTCTGGTTATTTGTAGCTTCCAACTCCCATTCACAGATGGAATCTCCCTAACTTGCCGGAGGACACCGAATTATGGATAAAGGTTGGAATTTTGGTTTCGATTGACCTGCCGGATGCCATTTGCTCGGTAGAACTGACAGAAAGTCGGGACCTTGCAGCGCGACGACCTTTCGGGGATGCAGTTGAGCGGGAACAAGGTAAGGAAGTTGGAATTTTTGATGGCCGATGCTGTTGCGAGCGGTGCCGACTGTGTTATTACGGTGGGAGGGATCCAGAGCAACCACTGTCGCGCTACTGCTGTTGCCGCGAGATATTTGAATCTGGATTGCTATCTGATTTTGCGCACTTCCAAGGTGAAGCTGTTTGAGCATTCAGTCTTCTTTTCTTCAAGTTCAAGCAGGGGTACGGGGAGCTGAGTATTCAATTGAGTTTCTGTAGGTTCTAGCGGACAGGGACCCTGGTTTGATCGGCAATCTCCTTGTCGAGCGACTAGTTGGTGCTCATATTGACCTCGTGTCGAAAGAAGAATATGCAAAGATTGGAAGTGTGGTTAGTCCTTTTCTGATGTATTCTGATCATTGATGAACAATTTTAATAACTGAAATGACAATTGCATTATTATTTTTCAAAGATAAGAAAAATAGCACTCATTCTCAATGAAATGGATGGTTACCTATCCTGAGTTGTTTTCAGAAGCTATTATGAGTGGGTAACTTGGTCACTGTACTTGATGTTCTTATTGCAGAGTATTTGTGGTGACATCATCTGATAACCAATATAGCTTTCTATTGATATGATTTAATAGTTCCTTTTATTATCAAATCGATGTGGCATAATTCTTATTTCTGGAAGAATTTTGGCCAGTGTATAGGCTCTAAACCCTACTAAAGAACGTTGATCGCCTGTGAGATATTCGGAAGCCCATTGTGGCACGCAAGTAGATCTTTTAGTTTCTTTTTATATAAATAATTTATTAAGGGTGAGCCTTGGTGCCTTGTGCTTTTATGACCTGGATGATCCGGTATAGAGTCGTGGACATAACCTGTCTATTCATATGGGTAGGGCTGGTACATATACTTTTCTCTGATCCTGCATTAACAGTAGAAATGAACCTGTAATTTTTACTATATCTTGTCCTCATGTCCTGTAATTTTTACTATATCTTTATGGACATTAACCTATGACTCATTTTATTTTTTGAATTTCACGATATGTGAATGTTTTATATTATTTGAAGCTTGCTATGTAAAGATAGAAAACTCAATTGTATCATTGATCAGAATTGAGTATCAATGTATTGATTAGTCTTGGTGATTATATATATATGAAGTACTTTTTAACGGGTGTACTGCCTATTATATAAACCCCATCACATTAAGTTTGTCAAATTTGTCAGATTTTAGTGATTCTACCATCATAAGCCTTTCACCTTAAGATTGGTTGCTAGATGAAAAAAAATAAAAAAAACAGATTGGTTGCTAGATACCAACACTGTAGTGAATAAGCCACATGCATTTAGAGCAGTGCCCAATAACCCAAACTTGTTTCCATTTTTTTTTAAGTCTGCTAATCATGAAAACATCAACTAACTCTTGTTCCTTGTGAGCTTCGAAATAGTTTTGTCAGTATATAAAACTCTCCAGATATGTCTACTTACTGCAATTGTGACTCTTTTCCAAAATAACTATATCAAATTGCTTTATATTGAAGACTGCTCTTTTCTCAACTAGATCTCTGTAATGGTCACTTTGTTCTGAAATAATTATGTCGTTGAAGACTGCTCAGTTCTCTTCTAGACCTTTTTGATCCTTTTAACTGTGTTTTATGCAATATTTTTTGCTCACACAGGATATCATTTCACATTTCTAAGATCTTATAGCATAAATGACAAATTTATCATGGGGATATTATTGTTGAGTTTTTCTACTACTTTTGTACTTATATTGCAGTTTTTTTATCAAAATATTCCATTTGATTCTATTGATTTGTTAATGTCTGATTTCTGATGTTATCACCCTAATACAATGTTGATTTCCCCTAGACTCTTGCTGACTTGCTAAAGAAGAAACTAATGGACCAAGGGAGAAAGCCATATGTTATTCCTGTTGGTGGATCAAACTCTCTTGGGACTTGGTGAGTTATGTCAATCATACATGTCGTGCAACTAGATGCCAACACGGAATGAACAGATGTAGCATATCAACCTTTTGATGGCTTCTTTTTATCATGATAATTATGATATATCAATCTTATGTAGCATAATGTAAGACATTTACATCATTCATGCAAGTATTTCGATGTCACAGTGGCAACCAAGGTTCTAAACACCAGGCATAGCACCTGGTGCTGCTTGGTATTTGCCGGTTGGACAGAGGACTGGCATGTGGAGCATGCGATTTCCAGGCCAATTCAAAATGTGGGTGCTTTTAATTTTTTTTATGTTTCTGAATCTGTATAGTTGAAAACGGCTGTTATTGACGGCTTTCCCTCTTGTTCCTTCTCTCAGCCTCAACCTCCAACATCACTGCTTTGACATCCACCTCCTCCTATCAGCACCATCACCTCCTCTTTCTCCTTGCATTGCTGCTACTGCTGCCGCCACCTCCTGCAGTGCATATAGACACCACTTCCTTCTCCTACTTCTATTCCTCCTCTCCCTCGTTCTCTTTGATCTGAGTGTTGCCAACCCATATCGGGTATTGGAGCAAAACTTGTTCGGTCCGTTTTCTTTTGTCCCTTGATAAAGTCAGATCAACCTCAATCCAATCCTCTACAATGCTGTCATCCATGCCCTGATATTACCATACTGCACAGGAGGACAACACATTATACCCTCAATCTAAATATTATAGTGAACATCGGTGCAAGAATTATTGATTGATTTATATCATCGAGTCGTATTTACAGCAAAGCCTATTTTCTGCTGACATAAATATGAGCGTAATTGATTCAGGTTCGTTCTTTTTCCTTAATCATCAATAGTAGTTTTATATGTTGTATACCTCAGCTGTTCTCTGTATATGTATTATTCAAGGTAAATTAATTGCGATGCATTTTTTTGGAAATTTACCTAGTACGTATTCCATGTCTTTCTGATGTGTTCTAAGCACCATGCCGTATGATGAACTCAAACTATTGCTTGATTGCTTTTAAGAAGTGATCCCTAAGATTTTGCTGATCTTTTAGGGGATATATTGAAGCAATAAGGGAGGTTGAACAGCAAATTCATAACAGCTGTGGTGAATTCCAATTTGACGACATTGTTGTTGCATGTGGAAGGTTAAACAACACTCTCTTTTAACAGCTTACCAGTAAATTGTGCTCTTTTGCAAGGTTGTTCATATTGCTGATGTTCTGTTCATAACATACATGATTAGTGACTCGAGCTCTTTTCCAGTGGTATCCTTGTATCCACCTGACATTATATCCATAATATACGTGTCCACAAAAGCTAGTTTACAAAAATAGATGATGTATGCCAACATGAATCATGGAATGATATATATATCTGACCTTCTGTCACTTATGTTTCATGTAATTTTTATGTCAAATTTTGTCCTTAGCTCTAATATATTTCCCAAACTTGAGTTTTGCCTTACTGGAAAGATATAGTAGAAACCCTCTCCTACACATTCTTGAATGATTTTGGAAGAAAGATGAGAGAGATTTAAGAGAGATTTAGAAGGGAATGAAAGTGAGAGAGGCTGTAAGAGAGGCATCATGAAAGGGAAAGGGAGAGGAGAGACTGGTTTAAAGGTGCCAAAGAGGCCCCAGCTTTAGCTGGGCTCATCATTGGGTGGGCTTATTGCCTAGCACAAGCCTGGTGACATGTGTACCAGTTGATAAGCCTAGTTTACAAGGATCATCAGGTGGTAACTCCTGTAGGGCTTGGCTAGCATTTCGACGGTCAGTCAGACCAGTAAATACCACCCAGACTGTACTGTCCTGACCAATAATCCAATCCTTGGTTCAGAATTAGTTTCTTTTTATTCATCATCTGGTTGTCTAGAATCACATATTTAAATTGTGTGCTATTATGTTGTGGTCTGTAAATCACAATTCTATCTTATTTCCTCTTCAAAATTCAATTTTAACTTTTATTAGTTTTCTCATCCATTTTGCTTCATGGATCATATCTCTGAAATTCTTTTTTTTTAAATATATAATACATGTGTTCATTAAGCCTATGTTCATCCAGAAATTATCTTTCCAACTTGTAGTGGTGGAACAATTGCTGGCCTTTCTCTGGGATCTAGACTGAGTAGTTTGAAGGCAAAGGTATGTCACATTATCTTAATCTTAGTGGCTCATTGTTTTGATAGTGGTTCAATGTCTCTTTTGTTGCTGACGAACTTTGTTTCGGTACTAGGTTCACGCATTTTCTGTTTGTGATGATCCTACTTACTTTTACAACTTCGTTCAAGGCCTGATTGATGGACTAGAAGCCGGTTTTGATTCACATGCTATAATCGATATTCAGGATGTGAGTTGAGAATTCCATATTTTTAAAATTTTCTTGTTTATGTGGTGTTGTGTTTATTGGATTTTTTTATTTAAAAAAGACATCAATACTATAAAGTATATTTGCATATTCTGGACAGCTTGAGGCAAAAATGATTGTGGCAAGCACGAGTCTTTAGATGCTAGTTCAGTAGAGCTGCAATTATCATCCTTCATCACTATATAGGTGCTGTAAGTCATACAATGCATCCAATTCCCAAAAGTATAATCAACTATTACCATAAAATTGTTGAATATGAGTCATATAATGCATCTAACCCCCAGAAGAATAATCAATTCTCATCATTCATCACTTTATAGATGTTACTACCTCTCTTTGAATTTGTTGTAAAATTTTCTAAATGATTTAAAACTGTTCTTCATTTATCTGAAGTTCTCCAAATTTATCTTTTTCTTTTTGTTTATGATATTGGATGTGGAAAAGGCACAAGGTGATTGATGAAATGGTTGAACTATGACCATTAAAGTCTTGAGATCAGGCCAGGAGAGGAGACAGTTACAAATCTATTTATATTCATGTTATATGGTTGTTACTGTCATCTTTACTGACCGGGGTGATAAAATCATTTGTGCTTGACGTTATGGAATTATATCCTATAAGTAAAACAATTTCATTGTCTTATACACCTAGCTGGTGTAGTTGTTAACTATTTCTTCTTTTGGGTCATTTAAGTTTGACAGTGTTCTATATTCTAAAGCTAGTTTCTTCATTTTCATCCCAGGCCAAGGGCTTAGGATATGCCATGAACACAGCAGAAGAGCTTCAATTTGTTAAAGATGTTGCAGCAGCAACAGGAGTTGTTCTTGACCCAGTCTACAGGTGCTTTTGAGATCTTTTCTCATATCTTTTGGGCAAGTTGCATCCTCTCTTACAACTTATTGCTTAGTTGAAACATAGTTGAAGATGTTCCAAAATTTATGGAAGCTATATAAGTTTATTGAGGAAATCATTGTTGTGAGTTTCAATGCAACTAGGTTGGCATTCCATTGTTTTGTCAAACTTAATAACTGTTTAATTACTAACCACACGACAATTGATACTTAATGTACTATATAACTGTTGAATGTTTAATTACAAACATGATAACTGTTTAATTACTAACCATATGACAATTCCACATAACTGTTTAATATACTATGTTCCCAAACTTGAAACTCATCTTAAAATTTAGAATTATCATTCCACATTACATTCTTCACCAAAGCAAAGATGCTTTTACCGTTTGCTTCCAGTGGCAAGCTTGTAAGGGAGAACAAGTATCACTTCTATTTGCATTGGCATTGGCACTACTTGTTCATATAAAGTTAAAATGGCTACAGAGATAAATTTACATCTTGGTTTCATCTAATAATATCTGAGCATTTTGGTTAGAGTTGTACATGAGAAAACTTGTATCTGTCCTTGTACAGCAGAGCTTTGGCCTATAATTGATCTATTAAAAATCTGTCCATGTTAATTTATGTAATAGCCTGATAAAAACATGTATTCGGATGTGACAAAGAAAGTGGACAGTATTTTTTCTACGCAATATCTGTTCGCAAACTATGTGCAACTACTTATTGATGTAAAGTTACAAAGGCTAGACACGGCAATTTACATCATGGTCACTTGTGTGCACTGTTTGTGTTTTAATTAGAAACTTGACATTGGAAAAGCTTAATTCTACTTTTCGTTACAATATATCTTCTTTCACCTAAACTAAATGTCATATGTCCAAGCTGACACTTTCACTACAATTCACAATCTAGTGCAAAAAAAAAGGGACATATTTTTCTATTTTTAATTCTCAGAGAGGCATGTTATGATAAATCTACATTAACTATGTTGGGTTTATTTGGAGAGAGTGATGAATGGTCATTCCATAAATGTATTACTGTTAACCTAAGACTAGGATACAAAGCACTCTTTTGGTTATTTCATGTGTATAATGTTCCTTTAGTCAAGATGATGTCCACACCATGATCCAGGGTTTTAATTGTGGAATCAGGTTAATGCAATATTTCATCGACAACAAAATATGATCATCTCTGTGAAGAAGCAGAAATCATCTGGCTTCTCTTCTCAGTTGCCCTGTCCATGACCCAATGATCATGAACCTTGATATGATGATTACCTCTTTTGCATAATGTGCTACATTAATCTAGAGTGACAAAGAGAATCTTATAAACTCCGAATATACCAAAGTATTGCACAAGTGTATCTGACATGAGAATTGTTATTGCCAAGCACCATGATTCTACATATCTAACTTCTTTGTATCTTGTATTATTTTTTTCAGTGGAAAAGCTGCCTATGGTATGTTAAGAGATATGACTGATAACCCAACAAAGTGGAAAAAACGGAAGGTTCTCTTCGTACACACGGGTGGGCTTTTGGGTTTGTACGACAAGGTTGAGCAAATGACATCTCTGGTAGGTAACTGGCAGAAGCTGGAAATCGAAGAATCCATTCCTCGCAAGGATGGAACAGGGAAGATGTTCTAAGGTGACCGGGACACATTGATTCTGCAAAAGGAATGCAGATAACCCAGTGGAGCAGAATCAATGGGGGTTTCTTGTCAATGAACTTGAACTCAGCACTGTTACTTAGGCCTCTGCCTCTCCATGTAGACAGCCGGAGATACTGTGGTTGCTTCCTCGATCACTACATGTTTACAGATATAATAAATTGCTAAGCAAACACATACATTAGTAGCTCAATCATTCAGGTCCAATGTAGTGGTCATTTGATGGCACAGTAACTAGTGTTCATGTTATATATATTATCTGAATAATACTGGAATCAAGATGAAGTTGAACCTTTATTGAAGTATTTATTGGTCAATCTAGCATCACTGCCACCATATGCATCAAGCTCAACTATGATACCTTATTATTTGTTAAGCTATCATAGTTAATAGAACTGACCAGTTTACCAACTTCAAAGGATGAGAACTTATCTAACTCCCAGTAAGGAAGTTAGGCCAACTGTTAAAACTTATCAAACCCAGATGTCAGAAACATATATATTTTAGTAGACTAATTTAGTCTGTAATCTACCAAAGCAATACCTACCTTGAACTACTGACCCTCATTTCATGGCTTCCCCTCAAGCAGAAATCATACGACTTTGTTGACCATATTACAATATAAAATAAGTTAATGAATATTTCAGTGCATGAAACTTTCACTGATCCGACATACTCGGACTCATGAAGCAGATAAGACAATATGTCGATAAATTAATTTATCGAAAATATGCTGTTACTTGTTCCTTGCTGGCTTTGCATTGAATAGTTTTCCTCAATTCTTTTGTGTTCTCATGAAGGTGGTTTATATTCTAAAGAACAAAAGTTTGATCATGCACGAGTCATACGAACCCAGTGCATGGCATGACATCTTCTTGATTCCAACAGCAGAAAAATATATTTAATTATATCCATATATAATTTAGCTTTCAGGTTGTTGCAATACTGTAGACTTGAGAGGAGATTAGTTGGCTTACATCCATTAATGAATTCTGGCCACCCTTCCTACCTCTTCTTAGTGGCTTCTTCAGGAATGAGAAGACCATATTCTACTAATATTTGGGTAGGGAAAACGATAAGAAGAACACGTTCACAAATACCGCTACCGTACGTTAATGCATTCATTTTTCATACTCCAGTATATAAAAAAGCCTGAATCAAACAAGCATATATTAAAGCTTTTCACACCCACCAATTTAGTTTGGTCAGGTTCTCACAATCCACCAATTTCCTGGAAGAATAAAATATACTCTCCACGTAATAAGGTTAATTGTCACGTAAATGTTTATTGTGTTTGAAGTCGGTTGTTATCCACGGAAGGATTAATGCTAGATTTGGCCAGTACTTTAGAGGTCGCAGATATCTTAATCTATTAGAGAAGAATATTAGGCTTTCGTGACAAGGTTAGCTAGTTTCTGATGCTGGTTGGCGAGGGAGGTTGAGACTTGGGGGAACGATCGAGTTCCTGTGTTGGGAAGATGGTTTCCATTTGAGGAACTGTCATGTCATGGTTTGTATAGATTCACCTGGAATACGTCTCCAACTGCAATATCTATGCATGTTATTATAGTTTGATTTGCTAAGCATCATATGGTTTTGTGTACTTCCTTTCTCGGTCGTTGGTGATGAAATATGATGGTTGCATTGGCTCTGAAGTAAACGTTTTAGGTTAGGGAGGAGAGGTGTTGGCGGAGGAGGAACGGAATTCACCAACCGAAGCAACCTCTCTCTCTCTCTCTCTATTGCATTATACTTTGTATGCAGTGCTGACTGTACGCAGGTCTCTCTAACTAGAATTTTCTCTTCCTAACTCAGTATATATCTCCTGATGGAAGTTTTCTCTAGAGAAGCATAAAGTCTCAGAGAGAAGAGAAGTCATCAATATCCTACCACGTACAGCCTCTTGCTCTCCTTCCATCTTAGTTTCTACAGTGATAGTATTGCCAAAATATGAACACCAAGTGTCACTGGATGCCTGCAGAAGATGACAAGCTCAAGGTATTGGTGACCAAATATGGCCCTCACAACTGGAACGCCATCGCTGAAAAGCTCCAAGGAAGATCAGGTGCGCTGATTTCACAGGAAATATCGATCACCAGTTCTATGAAAGTCTTCGTCTAAGAATGTTTTGGTCAACTGTTTCAATCAGGAAAGAGTTGTAGGTTGAGATGGTTCAATCAGCTGGATCCAAGAATCAACAGGAAGCCTTTCACAAAGGACGAGGACCAACTGCTGCTTGCGGCTCATGAGATCTATGGAAACAGATGGGCGATCATTGCGCGCCTGTTCCCAGGGCGCACCGATAACGCTGTTAAGAATCACTGGCATGTGATCATGGTCCGACGGCACAAACAGCGGTCTCAGCTTCCTCGTAAGCGTGGTGATCAGAGTACCTTCGTCGAGGAAGAAGAGTCGAAAAGTTCCAAGAAGAGGAAGCTAGAACCAAGAAACACGCTTCTCATGGTAGAGGAGTACCATCGACGATCTGACACAGTTCATCAACAAGGCTTTTACCCTAACATGCAAGAAGGTAACAAAATTAAGAGTGCTTTTCAGTACTGTTTGAGTTAGTTTTTCATTATCAGAGTTGGATGTCCAATTGAGACATTCTTCTATGTATCTCTCAATTCAATCTCGATCGATGGTTTGTTTATCCGACTCTTAGAGTTCTAAATCTTAAAAAACTATGTTGGAGTGTTTCCGACAAATTAAATGCTTCTCTAATGCTCAAGTTAATATGGGGTTTGGAGGATTAGACGAAGGTCGAGAGCAATACTCAAATATCTCAAAGGAACATATATGCGGACTCCTTTTACGTGGGTTATGAGAGCAATTATATGTTTCTTTACAGCTCATGATGCATTTTGAGAGCTCTTTTATAGTGAGTTTTTAGGATTACTATTACCATGATCGACATCAATTATAGAGGATGATTACATATTTCTTTGGGGCTTGATCATGATTGTGCCATGTCGAATTCAACTAGGTCACACAATGTCAAGATATCTTTGACATGATACTAAGACATCGATCGTGTGTCAATCGTGTGGCAGTAAGGTATTGGACATGTGTCGATCTTGTATTAGATGTATGATGTTGATTACGTGGTAGTGCATGTCATATCTTTATTCCATATCAATTATAAATTAAATATTTTTTTTCCAAGTTAAAACATTTTTAACTTGATCATGCATGTGGATGCAGGTAAAGATAATTCATTGAAGTTCTATGATTTTCTACAAGTCAACAGTGACTCTGATAGCACTCCAGAGGATGTGAGAAGAGAGGGAGAAGAACGATACGAGGATAAGGAGGAAGAGAATAAGAGCCATGCCAGGTTCATTGATTTCTTGGAAGTTGGAAGCTTCTAATTATGTTGGTTGTAAGGAAAGGTATTAACACTCTTAGAATCTCTGTTTATGTGCTGCTCACAAACTCTAACATTTACAGCTGCAAAGAGATGTGAAATAATCTTAGAAACATCTCATTTCCATCTCTTTGAATGGTAGCATTCCTCAAGTAAATGCTATGGCTTAGTGGCAAATGTAACAAGTTCCTTTCCTCAATTATAGTAAATGGTATTGGATCATTTAGTCTAATCAAAGGCATTAATCGAGTTATTGAACATATTTCAGAATGCCAAATGGCTAATATATATTTCTAGCATTTACTACTATTTTATGCTGAGACTGAGAATTCCTTAAAGCAATGACCTTTGGGTTTTTCAATATCACCATTTCTTAATTTCTTCGCAAAGATACATGTAAAACTATGCCATTATAATTTAAATTGGCATATCTTGTAACTTAAGGCAATGACTTTATATCATAAGAACCAAGTAATCTCAGATTAATTAAATTAATTGTGTCTTTTACACGTTTTCATATCTTCCATGTTTTTAGGGAAGGTACGTAATACTATTAAGAATTGGCTTGCTATTTTATATTTTGAGAAATAATATTTCTATGGAACTTGATATTTTAATTCAGTAGGACGAGGATGATTGTACTTGATATTTATTAGTAAAGTGGTTTTTAAAAAGATTATTTAATAGATGGTATATGTAACTATCATCCTCAATAGTCTTAGAGCATATCGATACATAAGAATATTAGGAATATCTATTATTTGATAAAAATTATCATCCTAAGTACATGAAAATAACACAACCTAACATGTGCCCTTAGACTCCTGCCACTTGGTTCATAAGGAAATTGTCTAAAATGATCAATGTAACATCGACCATTAACTATGTATTATAGAGGGAGCGATGAGATAATAATACAGGAGAGGGTGATGCAACGAGGGAGGAATTAGTAATTTCAAGGTCTACCATACCGAATCGTACCGTCCGGTATGAGCAGTACGTACCGGTCCGATAGGCTACCGGTATATAGACCGCCCGCTACCGGGCGATACATTCAAAAAAGCCTCTTATCGGACGATACGGGATAATATCGGATGGTAACGGTTAAAATTTTGACCGTTACCGCCCGGCACAACTCGATTACGATTGATTTCGATCGTTACTGCCCGATACCACTCGGTAACGATCGAAATCAACCATTATCGCACTGTAGTAGTGTTACAGTGTTTCAATGATCAATTTGACTATTGGAACCCTTTCTCATTCTATTTAAGTCATTCTTCTCTCTTCTATTTAAGCCAAAGGGGAAGTTAGTAGCATCAGTTGCATCGTTGGAAAGAATCGAGTCGAGCGATTAGACACCTTCACAATCACATTCTCTTTCTCGCTCGGTCCAAAGACATGATAGCAACACGGACAGCAGTGCCTCGACAGATGATGGTGGTGATGCCGGGCAGTCGTTGGTCTTGTCTACATAACTTGAGGGTAGTGAATGGATTGAGAAGTAATATTTTACACATGACACTCAAGATTCAGATCATGGAACTCGACAAGGTACTGGTCAAGTTTATGCGCGGAAGGGGAAGGGGAAGGGGAAGACAATAGATGAATATGAACAAATGCGACATAACATACATGATATAGATACAGAAAGAGGTTCATCGTATTCACAGCCATCGTATTATGGAGAATCATACGGGCAGCAACAGTATGGTGATAGTTGGTCATCCTTCTCTGGGCAATAGTATGACATAGAATAGCAGATCAGTAGCGAAAGTAGAAGCTCTGACATTCACCAATATATACCTCAAGAGCTGCCTCGGACAAATATGATTCATGAGAATCAGTCTATGATCAGCACCACATTGATGCATCAATCGCATACGGTGTATTAATATACTATGTCATGGGATCAATTTCATGATTGGGTCCAACAAACGTATCATATTGATATGCAGATGTATCGGATCGAGGACCCTGATCCACCACCCGTGGAGGCCCGTAGTTCATTTTGATGATAGAATCAAGTAATCAATAATTAGGTATATCTACATATGTGATTATTTAATTTATTTAAATTTTAAAGTTTATATTGTAACAAAATAGTCTAACAATTCAACTGATTTTTCTATAGATATTTCAATCTATAATGAGCTAAAATGCGAACCTCGAACAAGACTACCTAGTCCGAAAAAGATATATGATACTATTCTTACCTAATTTATATTAATTTTATTAAACTTATACTATTACTATATTTATTTATAACTTGAAAACCCTATCCTAACTTTTTTTTTAATTTTCAGACATTTTCGAAGGGTTAAATATATGAAATCAGGTGTACCGCTCGGTACACCGTACCATACCATACCGTACCGAGCCCAAATCAAAATGCCGGTACGGTACGATAATACAAACCTTGAGTGATTTAGGTATATTCAAATTTATACTTAAAAAATAATAATTAGTTATATATAATTTTATAATGATTAATATAAATTATTAAGTTATGATATATATTACCTGCAGTAGTCATATGCTATCTCACCTTCAAGTCAAAGAGATCTATGTAATGACACCATTCTATTTATATATAAAATTAAATATTATAAACTTGAAACATTATATTCAAAGCTAGAGGGAGAACATTTTACAACATAAACTATTAGACAATAACTAGAACAAATGATTAATATAAAATTACATGTAAATCTCCCATAAGGATATTTTATCAACAAATCATATCAATAATTAATTTTCAATCATTAAAGTACTTTTCAAACGTATGTACCAACGTGAATGTATATGAAAGTTATTGTCATCCCAAGATTGGCAAGAGGTTTTGGTAATATATAAAACAATAAAAAAAGGCTTTTTAGGAATTTGCTAAGATTTCTTATAGATGATTCTTTTTGTAATATTTAATTAAAGCTTACCTTTGTGCTTTGTATAATGTAAAATACTTGTTTCAATACTGTTCAAATTTCATCACGTGGAGTATTTTTTACTTGATTCAGCAAAATATTGCATCATGCTATATCTATAAATCAACATCATTGAATTGAATAATTTGATCGGTGTGTTACTATTAATAACTTAAAGATTCAGAGAAGATGGATGAGGACAGTAAAATAATTGAAGCAATTAATGATATGATGCAAAATAGGAGCATAGTCATCTCAAATAACCCTATACAATGATGATCGAAGAGGTTATCGAAGAGAAGAGATAGTTAACGGAGAGGAATGGAAGGTAATGCCAGAGAAGAGTATAGGAGATGAGATTACCGCTCTGTCACGGACAAACTTCTAAACAAGGTGTTTGATGTAATGCTTATATCTGTCCGTGTTTGTTGGCATGTTCATGCCCTGTACAGAATGTAAAGGGGCGACCGAAGGCTTAATAGTCCCATTTTAGTTGGGTTGGTGGCCTCTTTAGGCATGTAAATAAATGTTGTGTCATGTGGACATGTGCGAGAGCTTTTCGGTCTGTAATGGACCATTTTACCCTTTGTTGTGCCACTGTTCAGAGCTTGTAAAGTCTGTTTGTAATTTGCATTGTCTATGAAGTGTTTTTCGGACATGTTTGCTTGTGGATCCCGATTAAGGCGTTCTCTTTAACCCGTTCTCTCTTTTGTTGGTCCTAAGGGACAATAGGAGGCTTCGGGGAGGCTGACCTTTGCGGACGGACGCGCGAGGGTGCCGCACGACTTAGGCAAAACCAGCTAAGTTCGTGTCATATGGTATCAGAGTGGGACAAGCACTCATAGAAACACTTGACATGCAAACGTGGGGGACCTAGCGGGGCTGCGTTGAGGGCAGTCAGCACACGCGCGACCGTTTGAGGGAAAACGGGCATGGAGATGTAGGGAAAAGAGTCACTTAGAGGAGCGGGCATCTGAGATTGGCATTCGGAGGAATGGCCAACCCTTCGCGCAAGAGGCACCACGAGAATAGGCAAGCTTGGAAGAATTTGGAGCGCACAAAGGTTGGGATGGCTGAGTTTGAGCTACGGCTCAACGTTGACAACTATACATGATGGTGCTCTAGGCAAGCGAGGCGCTTGGCAAGAATGAGACCATGCAAGGTGGAATGAGTTGCTCAACGACCAAAAGAGTTATGCAAAGCTCACAGAGGTGAGGGGAATTGCTAACTC